TAGCGTTTGAAGACAATATCACTGAGTTCGAGTCCGGAAGTAAACATCGATTCTAGGATGCTGACAATCTTTAAATAGGACGAAACGCTAAACATTATCTATCCTTGCTTAGAATGTTTATGAGTTAAGAAAATATCGAGACAATTCGTATAGGATGTATATATGCCAATAAGCAAGTGATCAATCATAGTCCTAAGCATCAATAAGAAGATTTAAACAAACAATACAGATGTGCATGAATATCACAATAGAAATATTTTCATAGTGTTTAAATAGTTAATCTATATGCACTAAGAAAAGTTCAATTTTACTAACATTGAGTAATAATAACAGTTTTTATTCCATTATATTACTTACATAGCAGTACTTCTTCACTAATACCATCAAAATGCAAATACTAAGATTCTAATAAGTAATGAAAATATCAAAACCACTCTATCTTGAAACGTTTCTTAATTTTTTTAGTAAAATATTTATAATTTATACGAATTTTTTCTTAATTATCAGGACAGAGATATGTACAGGTTATTGATTGTTACTAATATCACAAATCTTACTTACTTACTTACTTACGCCTGTTACTCCCAATGGAGCATAGGCCGCCGACCAGCATTCTCCAACCCACTCTGTCATGGGCCTTCTTTTCAAGTTCCATCCAATTCTTGTTCATTTTTCTCATATCTGTCTCTATTTCTCGGCGTAATGTTTTCTTTGGTCTTCCTCTCTTCCTTCGACCTTGAGGATTCCATATGAGGGCTTGTCTTGTGCTTTCCTCAATGTGTGTCCTATCCACTTCCAGCGCTTCTTCCTGATTTCTTCCTCCACTGGGATCTGATTTGTTCTCTCCCACAGTAGGTTGTTGCTTATAGTGTCCGGCCAGCGGATCTGAAGTATTTTGCGTAGACAACTGTTAATAAACACCTGTATCTTTTGGACGATGGATTTCGTAGTTTTCCAGGTTTCCGCCCCATACAGTAGAACTGTCTTGACATTTGTATTGAAAATTCTGACTTTGGTGTTGGTTGCTAATTGTTTTGAGTCCCAGATATTCTTCAGTTGTAGATATGCTGCTCTTGCTTTGCCAATCCGTGCCTTCACATCTGCATCAGATCCACCGTGTTCATCGATGATACTGCCCAAATATGTAAAGGTTTTTACATCTTCCAAAGCTTCTCCGTCAATTGTGATTGGATTGGTACATGCTGTGTTGTATCGAAGAATCTTGCTTTTCCCTTTGTGTATATTGAGACCTATTGCTGCTGAGGCTGCAGCTACACTGGTTGTCTTTTCCTGCATTTGTTGTTGCGTATGCGATAGAAGAGCCAGATCATCTGCGAAGTCTAGATCGTTCAGCTGCATCCTAGCTATCCACTGTATCCCGTGCTTCCCTTCAGATGTTGATGTCTTCATGATCCAGTCGATCACCAGGAGAAAGAGAAAGGGTGAGAGTAAGCAACCTTGCCTGACACCGGTCTTTACTTCGAACGACTTTGTCAACTGTCCTCCATGCACGATTTTGCAGTTTAATCCATCATAGGAATTCTGTATGATATTGACTATCTTCTGAGGCACACCGTAGTGTCGAAGAAGCTTCCATAGGGTTGTTCTGTCCACGCTATCAAATGCTTTTTTGTAGTCGATGAAGTTGATATAGAGTGATGAATTCCATTCAATTGATTGTTTCACAATGATCCGTAGAGTTGCGATTTGGTCTGTGCACGATCTATCCTTACGGAATCCTGCCTGTTGGTCTCGAAATTGTGCGTCTACGGAGTCCTTCATCCTGTTTAACAATACCCTGTTGAAGACTTTTCGTGGTATTGAAAGAAGAGTGATTCCCCTGTAGTTGTCACAGTTGCTGAGATCGCCTTTCTTTGGTATTTTGACTAGAAGTCCTTCTTTCCAGTCTTTTGGTACTTGTTCTTCATCCCAAATCTTGCTGGAGAGAATGTGGAGTATCTTTGCAGTTGCCGCTACGTCTGCATCACAAATCTACTTAAATTAAATATCTATTATAAACCAGGTAATATCAAATAGCTATTAAGTTTAAGTTTAGGGTTCCTCAACAGTGGACATTTATAAATCTCTCACCACCGACTGAACTAAGAGTTTTTAGTCTGTCGATTAACTCTTATCTTCTCAAGTATAGAACTAAGATTTAACTGTAGAAATATTTAACTTTAGTTGATTTATAACATTATCGTAACAATTACTTTTTTTTTTAATCATCTTTGTTAAAATAATTGACATACATTGGCATATTTAAACTTCATTGTGTCACAACCTCTTCTTACTTGATAATAACTTGAAAAATACAAGTGTAATCTACAAGATCATAAATGGAAATCAAATGATCAAATCTTTTAGTAAAATCTAAGTATCACAAAATAAATTCTTTATGTGTAAACTATTAGTTAATCTCAATGATTAAGATCATGAGTCAGTTGAAGCTATACCACCATGGAAAACCTGGAAGCTTCAACTGACTCATGATCTTAATCATTGAAATGACTACAATCTCCACAAAACCCCTTCTGATATTAGTTAATCGTTTTAGACTTTTCTTTCCTTCTATCTTTTTAACTTTCTGCTATTGGATATTTCACTTACCATTGATAATAATATACTACTTATAATGATCAATATCAGTAGCATACATTATATAAGATTGTTTGTATAATATAGTTTTTTAGATCATCACTTAAATTTAAATAATTCATATATTATTATTCTATAAACTATAAATATGATCTTCTTTCTATTTCATTTTATGATTAATCATTATTCATTGGAATGTAAAATGATAAATTTGATCAAAGTTACTAAGTGAAATCAAAGAAACAAATCAATTGAACCGATAACATTACTGTCTTGATTTTTTTATTATTCTGTCAATGTATTTAATAAATAAATAAATAAATATTTCATATTGTATATAGAATCATCATCATCATCATCATCATAAATTTATGATTTCTATTGTTGATTTCATTAATTTAATTTAATTTTTTTGAGAAAAATATAGTTGACATGGCAACAATATTAAATAGATGATTCGATAAAATAGTTGACATGACAACAATATTAAATAGATGATTCGATAAAATAGTTGACATGACAACCATATTCAATAGATGATTCGATAAAATAGTTGACATGCCAAATGTTTATCAAAATAAAAAAAATAATGAATGTACGTTAGGTAGATTAAAACTAACAATGTTGCATGACAGATTTTTATGAAAAATAAAGAAAAAATATTCATATTAGAAGAGTATTTTTTTTTTGTGAATATTTTAATAATTTTGAATAGCTGAGATCATGAATTAATGGAAGCATTGAAATGCCGTTTCGTCCTAGTACGAGACTCCTCAGATGTGCACTTCCACATACTCGCTTATGAGATTTGAATCCAAGACCTATCAGTTTCGCATACTAGCACTTAACCACTAGATCACTGAATCGGCCGACATCCAACGGTGTTAATATCTTACTTTAACTAATCTACAAAATTGAGCGACATATTCACCATTGTCTTCAGTGAATTACTATCTTCACTAGTCACTGCTTATCACTAGAACTCCATGAAATACCTCTTGAAGCTAATCACTAGTGAGCATATGTTATTTTATATCAGAAATGATTTTTTGTGAATGTCATAATAATTTTAATAACTGAATTTATGAGTTGATTAAAGTCAAATTATTTTGAAAAATCGGGAAGCGCTGTTCAGTTATTTCATTCTATTGTACGTATCCAATATACCGCCTCTTGAGATCCAAACCCAGAACCTATTAGTCTCACAAAAGGACAAAACAGCCACCCAATACTTCCAAAATTTCTGTGATCTCAAATATTGAAATAATATTTATTTTTATCATTTGAAGGTAGACATCAACACCGTTAGATGCCAGCCGGCACAGTGGTCTAGGGGTTAAGCGCTCACACACGAGACTGGTAGGTCTTTGGTTCGAATTTCGCTGGGAGGGGGTCATGATCATGGATGCACACCGCTGAGGAGTCTCATACTATGACGGAAAGGTTATCCAGGGGCGAGACTCTAATTTATGAACGATCTTTGAACGAATCTTAAGTAACGTTGAGAAATATTAGCTAATCAGAAAACAGTATAGGGTAAAAATATATTATACAAAACCAAAGAAATAAAGTGGATAAACTCCTTATACGTGGTTCAAAAACTTGTTAAGGTTAGAAAGAGGTTCAGAGGTTCTAAAATCTTAATGCGTGCAGTAGACGAAATCATCCATATAGATAAAGAATAGTCGGCCTCTAGAATCATGATAAAGTCTCAAAAACTTTTTCAACCACGACCACATAGTTTTAATATTGTTTATATGCACTCCGGTTGTTGAGTACACAAAATGCCACTTGTGGATAACGACACGATGCATATAACCCAGCCTATGTAGGAGCCTTTACCGTCTCCAAACATCCGTATATATTGTAACAGCTGGCTGCAGCTAGTGTTACTGGTGCTTTTATTATCCAGTTTGCGATAATTATCATAATTTACCTTAGTTAGGAATTGTATATAGGGTTTTCATAATGAACTGACATCAGCTATAATACCAGAAATCTATTTAGCTGAATGAATGAAAGACTTTCACATTAAAATCCAAACTCTGTTATCTTATACTAAATTGATTCGTTCAATAAACTATAGTCTCACCGTTTTATTTGTTGTAACCGGTCAATTATTACCATTTTTGTATTGAAGTTGCCACTGTAACTTTAAAATCTCTAAAACACACACTGATGAACTTATCAATAAATTAAAGTTTCACTTTTCCAAGTTTTCCAAAGATGATCTAAATTCAATGAATTCATGATTTCAATTCATAGAAATGATTACAACATCCACAAAACACAACACCACCCCACCCCACCCCACTCCACCCCATCCCACCCTCCACCTCCACCTCCACCTCCACCTTCTGATTTCTTATCATTTACTTACTTTTTTTCTATTCTTTTTATAGATTACATCATCAATGAAGAAATGGTTTAATAAGAAATATTTATTGAATTTATTGAAAAGAATTCAATCTATTGTATCACATAAATATCATACTATTAAAAAGATACATATTGTTATAATAAGTTGTACATTTATAACATTTTTTACAATTGTTGGTAATGAACGTGTATTTGGTAAATTTATGTTTACCTATTCATTATATGGTCCTATACAATTAAATATAATTGATAGTTATTTTATTAATCTTATATATTGGTTATGTTTTTGTATAGCACGTATTATTACATTTTTTATAGCAATATGGTTAAAAGCTAATTTATTATTATTTATATTATGTATTGGTACATTATGTAGTTCAATTGGTTTAATTATATTACCATATGAAAAATTTTGGTTTTATTTATGTACAATATTATTTGGTTTATTTAAAAGTCCATTATTTCCAATTACCTTAGCAACAATTAATCAATCATTAGAAATTAATGGTTTTTTAATTATTATTGTTAATTTTGGTAGTTCATTTGGTGCTACATTATTACAATTTATTGCTGGTTATTTAATACATCAATATGGACAATTTATATTTCCATATTTAGTAATGTTTACATCATTATTATTATTAATTACATCAATTATATTAATTCTAAGTTTATTATATATTGGTAATCGATTTAAACAATTCAATCATATTATGATTGATACATTGAATGAAAATAATCAATATGATAATACTACTACTACTACTAATAATAATAATACTAATACCACCACCACCACTAATAATAATAATAATAATGATAATAATACATCACCTATAACAATATTACCAAGATCCAAATGGATTCCATCAAAATTCAATCAAGAAAAAATCGATCCAATTCATGTAAATGAAAAATTATGAAATTTTACATTGAATAATCAATAACAATGAATGATGTAATAGTAATTTGCAAAGAGAAAACATTTTATTGAAGTAAATTTTTTTTTAACAAAACAAACAAACAAACAAACAAACAGTATTTGATTTTTATTAATATTTAATGAAAAGAAAAAAAGAGAAAAAATAAAGAAAAAAGAAATTTCATAAAATCTAAAAAAAGTATTATTTCTCATCATGTAATCAAATATTTTTACTTTATTTTTTTCTTTTTCTGTCTTTTATAAAAAAACAAATAAACAAATAAATAAATAAACAAACAGTGTTGCATTATTATGATTATTATTATTTCATGAAAAGAAAAACAGAGAAAAAAGAGAAAAAAGAGAAAAAATAAAGAAAAAAGAGATTTCATAAAATCTAAAAAAATATTATTTCTCATTGTGTAATCAAATATCTTTTCTTTTTTTTTTCAAAAAAAAAATCAAAAAACAAATTTTTTTCGTTTCTGATCTTGGTCTAAGAATCTTTATTCTTTCAATTGTTTTTTCATCAAAAATTAATTTCTCTTTAAAATGTATGATGATTTAATTTATAGTAAATTTTTCTTTCAACAAAAACAACCAAACAAACAGTGCTTGATTTTTATTATTATATAATGAAAAGAAAAAAAAAGAAAGAAAGAAAAATAAATAAAACAGAAAAGAAAGAAAAAAGAAATTTCATAAAATCTAAAAAAAAATTTTTATTTCTCATTATGTAATCGAATTTTCTTTCCTTTTTGTTTATTTTTCCAAAAGAAAAAATGAAAAAATCACTTTTTTTTCATTTTCGATCTCGGTGTAAGACTCCCTATTTTTTTTTTGTTCTTCTTTCAATGGTTATTTCATTCAACATGAATTTCTCTTTAAAATGTATGAGAATTTAGTTTATAATTTTGGATTTCTAATTGTATAATCATTGAATATTATATGTATATATATCTATATATCTATATATCTATATCTATATGATACAACCGTGGACTTGACTTGGTTTATACAAATAGGACATTAATTTACACTTGATTCTCTTGTAGTGTCTATATTTACAAAATTCAATAAAATAATTCAGATCAAAAAGAGATTTGATTAAGGTTCACTGATTATTTAATATATACAGTAATATGAATCAATTATATTTCATGTGTACGGAGGGTTTTGTAGAGATTTTAAGAAATTTCACTCATTCAAATCATGAATCAATTATATTATCATATTTACTAACGCGTACATTATTATTACTATTATTGATTATTTCTATTTACTTATTATCGATTTTATTACATAATCATCATCGATTTAAACATTTCAATCATATTCTGATTGATATAATTACTGAATTAATGAATGAAAATAATCAATACAATAATATAATAATAATAATAATAACACACTTCGTATAATAATATTATTACGATCAAAATTGATTGAATACAGATTCAATAAAGAAATCGATCCGATTCATCATAATGAAAAATTATAAAATTTGAAATGATCGATTTTTAATTTTTTTTCTTTTTATTTCCTCTTTACTAATCAATAATTAATTATGTAATAATAATTAATATATAAGAGATCATTTTCTAGGCAAATATTATGATGATTATTATTCGTTTTGTGGCTTTTTTGTTTTTTGATTTGAAAAAAATACAAAAATCAACAAACAAACAACCAAACAGTATTTCATTTTTATTGTTACTAAGTGAAAATAAAAAAAAATAAAAAAATTTCCTAATTTCCAAAACATCTTATTTCTCAAATATTATTTATTATTTCATTGAATAAATTTGTTATATATTGTGGGCCGCCGAGTAGAGGACATTGAATTATCGATCGAACCAAAGATGAGTAAAACACATGTAAGAACAGCCTACAGTTCTGATTAGCCCTGCTTCCCTGTCTAACCCAGCCAGTTGAGTCCAGAATACAAGTCTCAGCCTCTGCAATATCAATGATTATATTTCAAACACACTCGGTTTATATACTAATCAAATAGACCACAAAGTACCAATAAAATATGAAACAACATTTGTACAATAATTAGCCAAATGTGGCTGTGAATGTGGGAGATAGCAATCAATAGATAGAGCATAACTCAAGAATGCTAAATCGTATAATAATAGTTCATAGGTCAAAATAAAACTCATAATAACAGAAGCATGAATATGAACAGATTAGTTACGTAACAATTATATGATAAAAATATACTCATAATATCAGTCCATAATTGGATCCCAAAAATTACCATTCGTTATTCTTAATGGGATATAACAAAATTCTCTATAAAATGTATGATCATTTAGTTTTAGAATTTTTAATTGTATATTATGTCTATGATATAACGCTTCGGGTTCTTTATTGAAACGAATACGATATTAATTTACTTTAAACGTATATCTAAACTAGATCTCCTTCCAGTGTCTATTTTACAGGACTTCACCACAAATCAGATCAAGTATATATGACTAGTCTAACTAGAAAGTAGTTATATTTCAACATTAAAAACCACTGACACAATCCAACAACAATGAACAATCAACAATAAATAATAATATGGATATGTGAATATATAACTCATCTAACACCTATCAGACTATTTACAAGCCTAACTAAGCAAACAATTAACCATGATCATCTTCGCCCACACTACAGTATATATGTGTTTACAATTAATATGTCATACTAATATAATTCAGAAAGTTAAGATAATGAAGTCAGTCAGTCATTCATTGACAACGTAGAACTTCGTACGTACGTACATCAGGTCAAGCTGTCATACCACATTAACACCAAGATGCAGTTGTCGATTCAAATCCCATAGTGGTAGAGGTAGTAAGAGTATAAGCAGTAATTGGAAAGATTAGAGTTTGAAGATGTTATTCAAGGAGTATAAACCAGCGAAATAAATTTGGAAAGAGAAAAAGAAAGGTACACGAAAAATTCAGAAGATTGGAATTTGGGAGCACACAAAGAGTGCATGCACCTGCGCCATTGCATACGATATTGAGTCATATCATTCAAGGTTTCTAACCATCAGTTGCTATCGTCTCGTGGATTTGAACCAGGTAGTCTACACCTACTGATATGTCTCAGTCCAGTTGTCGGTGGCTTCATGGGTTAGTGCCTCATGATAATGAACAAACAGTTTTTGATTCACAACCTGTACTCCGTTACTTCTCTATACAAATTTGTTTTATCAACACTCAAAATATTCTGGAGTAAATTTGATAAGGTTATAAGATTAAATTAATAAGTCTCAGGAACACATATCTCAAAATCACTTAAACAAGTTTATTACTTTTCGTGAAGAAGTAAAAGCCGCCTACCAGATTTCGCCATCCAACTCTGTCTTGGGCAATCCTTTCCGGTTGTTTCCAATTGCCATTCATACTTTTTATGTCTGCTTCCATTTTGCGACGCAGTGTTTTCCTTATTCTAGCTTTTTTCCCTTCAGCATTTCAAGTTAACAGTAGCCTCATTTGAAGTTTGGTGATTTCCTCCTTGTTGATCGATGATGCTTCATATGTACGTGAGACTCCACATTTTCCAGCGTTTCTCCACCAAGTGTGATTGGTTTGGTTGGTGTTCACCGTGTTGTATTTGAGGATGTTGCTTTTGCTCTAGTGTATGTTGAAGTCTACTGATGTTGAGGTTGCTGCTACTACAGTGGTTGTCTCGACCTGAATTTATTTTGGTATGGATGAAGGTGAGAGGAAAAGAAGGAAACCAAAGAATACATTACTTTGAGAAATCGTGATAGACATGAGAAAAATGAACAACAATTGGATAGAACTGGAAATAAAGGCCCACGACAGAGTGGGTTGGAGTATGCTGGTCAATGGCCTATGCTCCATTGGGGCTTAACAGGCGTAAGTAAGTAAGTAATCTAGGATTATAATCTTTCTATTACATCACCTTGGTTATTTCTTGTTCACATTCTCTCATAGAACTAGTACTTTAACAAAAGAAGATTTTCATATCTATATACGATTGTACAGCTTGATAATAAATTCGTTGAAAACAGAGAGATCCTTTCGTTGAACGTCATGTTTTATAAGGTTTATTTAAACATTTAAATCAGATATTTGGTTAGTAACTAAGACCTATTAGATAAATCGTTTACTTCAGAGACACGTTCTCATTTCATATGCATAGTATTTAATATTTTACTGAAAAATAAAAATCACGAAAATTTATGCAAATCATATACATTTATAATTAGATCATTTGAATTAGGTTGAATGATAAATAACTTATACAAATCTTAAAAGAATTGTAATGGTAGTAGTAGTAGCCTTAGTCGTAGTAGTAGTAGTAGCTGTAGACGTAGTAGTAGTAGTGGTAGTAGTAGTAGAGGTAGTAGTAGTAGTAGTAGTAGTAGTAGTAGTAGTAGTAGTAGAAGTAGTATTAGTAGTATAGTTTAGTAGAATAATCTCAACTCTTAATCATTGATTTCATGCGATTAGTTCCGTTTATGTAGTTAAATAAAGCCAGAACAAACAGTGATGCAGAATTATATGAATTCATTATGCTTTCGCTGTTTTTCATCAGCTGCTTACAACTACTGATATGTATTAGAATTTGACATTGAGGTTAGAAATAGTATGGAATTATTGAAATAGGTGAATGTAAAGAATTGAAATGACTAAGGTTTCCTATATTGGAGTGAATATGAACTCCAGGATGCAGGTACATTCAGCTGATGAATCCCGAATAGGACGAAACACGCATCAAGCAGTATTTTACCATCAGTTACTATCCATCTTTGCTTAAAAAGCTTGTGACTTAAAGCTGTATCAAGGCAAGCAGTTGAATCAAGGCTTCGTGTTTCGTCCTATTTTGGATTCGACAACTGGGTGTACTTGCATTTCAGAGTTGATGTTCAATTCGGGACTCAAACTCATTACCGTTGATTTCAAACTTCATTGCGCTATCTACTTAGCAACTGAGTCCTGATAGCCACTTGCTTGTGCAATGGGGTGAAGTTTAAATTTACTTGGTATTGTTTGTTTGAATCTTCCCATTGATGCTTAGGACTGCAATTGATCATTCTATTATTGACATATATGTATCCTGTTCGGATTGCCTCAATATAG